ATCTCCCACGTGGTATAATTGAAACAGTTAATGTTTCAATTTGATCACTATCAACTTCAACTGGTTCCCCCAACCATGGAGCATCATCCAGCAAGAAATCTCTAGTACGAAACTTCACAAACTACTTTTGACACATTCGATCAGTCACACCATCTTCTTCATTCACTTTACAAATATTTTTTGAGTTTCAGTTGCATTTTTACCTTTCTCGAAATAATAAATCATAGCATGCTAAAAATCTTGTATATTTTCTTCCATCTTCAACATTAGAATGGCTACACAAAAATTCACCAATTTTAATAAGTTTTTTTAAATGCATGCTGATATGACAGCTGTCACAATACAATCTAACAAAATTGTTTTAAATGAAGTTAAAGACAATTAAGTGCTACTAGAGCTATTGTATGGAAAAAAACAAAACAAACTTCTTGGCCAACCCAATATTTTCAGATTATTTTTATGATTGCATTTGTGAGAAGGCTTATGTTTCTATTTTTTATTTAAACTACCATTTGACTGGTAGAGTATCACAAGATTTTGTGTATTAATTGGTTATATTGTGACCCAGAAGTAGCTTAATATTAAGACCATGGAAGAGTAAAAACAGTTACATTATTGGCAGATTGTTCCTATTACAGGAAGTAATTTGGTTAAAGTTACTCATTTTGAGTAATATAAGGGACAACTCCCAGTCTTAGACAAACTTGGGTGTGCTCTCACTAGTGACATAGACAGGAAAAATGTTAAAGAGGAGAGTTCAAATACAATACAATAGAAAGATGCCCAGACACATCTTAGATGCCCAGAACAGTGTTATGTTGACTACAGTACACAATTTGGATTGCATAGTCAGAAACGCCCTTCAGCATAAGGTATTTACCAATTGTGGTTTTTACAGGCATGCTCAGTTTCGTTCTAGTGGTTTCATGAGCCTGTTTATGCCTAGATTTGCCCTTGTTTCAGTTTTTACATATATTAAGGAAGTGTTCACAGGTTGTGAAGGGTTGGTATTCGGTTTACCAGATTAGTAAAGATTGCCCCTCATCCTTTCATTATAATTGAAAAACAGATATCTGTGTTGTACTTGCAGAGATCTACACAAGGGTGTTCAAAGGGAGAGTATTAGCCTGACTAGAGAATACACAGATATACATATGCCCAGTTCAGAAGGCAAGGAATATGTAGTACAGAAGGACATAATTCTTTTTAAGAAAAGTCACTTATACTCCCACCTCTAAAATAGTTACTCTGCCTGAGTATTCTGAGGTGTTTTTTCATTTTTATTCATAGATACATTTCCTAGCAATTCCGGGCAGCTTGTTTTAGTCCATCATACTTTGTTTTAGAATAAGAAAGTTAGAGAATTGAGAAACATGGTCATAGGTTCTCAAGACATCAGGACTATTATTTGCATCCTTTCTCTTTGGCAGTAAGTAGTGTGATGTGTGTTTGGCCATTTATTAGTCCAGGCATTTGTCTTCTCCACTACAAATAGTAGAATCCAAGATTCTCAATTTGTTCTGTCTTAGCACACCTGAGAAAAGCATTCCCATTGATTACAGTAGATGGGAATCAGAATCTTGAGAAGGGATCTTGGTATGGTGCTAGGGAGAAAAATAGAGGCTGGTGACCCCTCTCCTGCTTATCCTTAGAATCATTAGAGTACATCTAGATGATGACCCACGTTCTTCTGGTTCTAAACTTCTATTTTCCTTTCTCTACTCCTTACATACTATCTATACACCTGCTTCTCTATAATGATTGGGTTCAAATTTTCCCCTTTAAGAAAGGGAGAAGGGGGCAGGAGAGGGGGAGAGGAAAAGGGAGATCTAGCATATTAACCTGCTATGGAACCATTATTCCTGCTGTCTCTTATGTGCAAGAACAACTCATATTCTTTTTTATCTTTATTTTTTATTGAGATCTAATAGACATACAACCTTATATTAGTTTCAGGAAATTTTATGTTTGTACACACTGCAAAATTATCACCACATAAGTCTAGTCAACATCTGTCACCAGAAGTAGTTGAAGGTTTTTTTTCTTGTGATAAGATAAATTCTATTTTATCATGGTGTATGTCCCTTTAAATGTATTGTTGAATTCATTTTGATACTATTTTGTTTAGGATTATTGCATCTATATTTATCAGCCAGCAATGTTCTTTTCTTGTTCCTTGAGTGGTTTTGATATCAGGGTAATGCTAGCCTTGTAAAATAAGTTAGGAAGTAGTCCCTCCACTTCCTTTTTTTGGAAGAGGGTTTTTTTGGTTTTGTTCTAGATTTTATTTATTTATCTATCTATCTACATATCTATCTATCTATCTGTCTATCTATATTTATAGAGACAGGGGAAGGGAGAGAGAAAGAGAGGGAGAGAAGCATCAGTGTGTGAGAGAGATATCAATTGGTTGCCTCTTGCATGCCCCTAACTGGAACCTAGACTGCAACCCAGACTTGTGCCCTGACTGGGAATTGAACCAGTGACCCTTTGGCTTGCTGGCTGGTGCTCAACCCACTGAGCCACATCATGCAGGGCTTTGGAAGAGTTTGAGAAAGATTGATATTAATTATTTGAATATTTAGAAGAATTTGCTAATGAACCATATTATTTATTTAGCTAGGAAGACAAGTTTAAATTAAAACTGAGAGTTTACCTGCTATTATGTTGCAGAAAATATGTTAGAATAGAAAATTTGGGGGTTTCTCTTTTTTTGAAATTAAATTAAGAATGAAAAATCTTCCAAAAATATATCTTAGGCCCTGGCCTGGTAGCTCAGTTGGTTAGACCATCACCCCATTATCTCAAGATTGTGAGTTCGACCCCCCGATCGGGGCACATATGAGAATCAACCAAGGAATGCATAAATAAAATAAAACAATAAAAATATATCTTAAGCCCTGAGGGCATGAATATGTGCTTGCCTCTTGAACTATTATAAAATAGTTCAAGAGGCAAGTTCAATAGTTCAATAGTTCAATAGTTCAATCACCATGAATGGTGGCATGCAAGAGGCAACCACACACTGATGTTTCTTTCCTCTTTCTCCCTCCTTCTCCGCTCTCTAAATATAAATAAATAAAATATTTTTAAAATATATATCTTAGAATGCACACATAACATATGAAACTTTAGTTTTCTGAATCAGATTTCTGCTTTATTTCCTCCTTGAGTATAGTTTGTAGAGTACACATCAGAAACCAGAATTTATTAAGTATTATGATTTATTCTTTCTGAGATGCTTAAAGTGTTAGATTTAATTAAAATTATATATTAAATATTTATATTTATAAATACCATGGAAAATATTATTTACATTTTGTTAACAACAGTTGTTCTCTTTTTTTTTGTATCTTGGACCACACTCCCAGCCTGAAGCCTACAATTTTTCAGTATAACGTTTTTAGGTGTGTAAAATAATACACACAGATACATATACATAGGAGTAAAAATAACCCCATTATATTAAAGTATAGTCATAGAATATTAAAACTTGTGATCTAATAAGTGCTTTTTTGTCAATGCATTAAGACCTAGCATCCATTTTAATAATTACTATAATTTCAAAGTAATATTGAACCTAAAAGATATTGCAATATATGCAACAACTATTAATGTGATAGGAAAGTATCTGATATTTGTTGACAAAATCACAGGTATGTGTATGTAATTTGTTGCCGAGAGTAAACTTTAGTTAGAGGTTAGTGAAAATAAAGGCGTAACCTTTTTTCCCATTGTTGCTCACAGACCATCCTCCTACCTCTTACCCCTCCACCCCATGTCTAAAATTTTTATTCCCCAGACACATTTGAGGAAGCCAGATGTAATCCTCTGTGTCACAGGAGACTTAATCTTTGAGGAAAGTAGAGTTATTTTCCATATTTAGCCCTTAATGCTTTTCAAGCCTTTAAAATAAGCAAGTGCTTGGTTGTTAAATGGTGATAGTCAGTATCTCTTTGCATTAGGAACTTGGCTTATAGCCACTAATTTTATAATTGATTACTGAAGAAATAGATATTTATAAAATCCAGTTTTGTCATTTTATCTGAAAGTCAAATGAGACCTGCTAATAGTTATGAGTACTTTACCTGTGTCTTGACTTTGAGCCACTGTGGTTGTATGTCATATGTTTTTCATTGTCATTAAAGAGAAAGTGTAACTGATGTTGTAGGCCCTGAATCATCCTTCTGCTTTATAAAACTAGTATTGCTTCATTAAACCTGTGTTATTATTTTTTACTTACTTTTTATTTTAGTAAATATATATAAAATAAAATCTACCATTTTTAAGTGCACAATTCATTGACATTAATTCCAATTCCCAGTGTTGTGCAATCGCTACCACTGTCTATTTCCAAAATTTCTCATTGCCCCAAACAGAAATTCTGTGCTTATTAAATGATAGCATCCCATTCCCCACTCCTTTTGCATCTGGTAACCTATAATCTACTTTCTCTCTATATAAATTTGCCTTTTCCAGATATTTCATATGAATAAATAATACAATATTTTTTCTGCATCCAGCTTATTTCCCTTAGCATAGTATTTTCAAGGTTCATCTATGTTGTAGCATGTATGAGAACTTTAGTTTTTATGGTTGAAAGTACTCCATTGTAAGTGTATACCACATTTTGTTTCATCTATTCTTCTATTGAAGGGCACTTGGGTTGTTTCCACCTTTTGGCTATTGTGAATAATGCTGCTATAAACATTGCCATACAAGTACCTGTTTGAGTCCCTGTTTTCTATTTCTTTTGGATATGTACCTAGGAGTGGAATTGCTGGGTCATGTGATAATTCTGTTGTTTAACTTTTCAAGGAAGCAATGCAGTTATTTTTATAATAGTTCATTATATTTTTATTATCTTTCATTAGTGTTTCTTAAGTACTTAAATTTTTTTTTGCTTATTTCCTTCGTTAACTTTTGTTGTTGCTTTTTAAGAAATTATTTGTTTTGGTCATTCATTTTTTTTCTTTTCTTTTCAATTGTTTGTTTTTCAGACCCAAGTCAGAACTCCATCACAGGGGAACACAGCCAGCTGTTAGGTATAGTATTATATTACTATGGGAATTGACTCTCTCTAACATTACCCTTTTCCTGTTTATACTGACAGACATTACTCCTTTCTCTAATTCTATTTTCTATCTTCTCCTTTTCTACTTTTCACTCCTCAACTTTTTTCCCTGCTGTTTCCATTCCCAACTTGGTAAGTTTTAGGTAACTACTTTTGTAATTGATTGCTAAGACTGAATTTAGCTATACTAAAAATAATTTTAATACAAATACCAAGTTATGTTGTACATCTGAAACTAATGTAATGTTTTATATTAGTCATACCTCAGTAAAAAAGGTAATTTTAGCATGGTCTGTAGTGTTAAAAAATCTGTAGGAATTGGAACTTGTTTTTCCAAAATTTTGAAAAGAAGGTATTATAATAGTCTGTAATATTTTGGGCTTTGCAGCTACTTTGCCCTTTCATTTTTCACAGTCTCTTGATTACCTTCATTTTAACTACTGCAAGTACTTCATAAACAGCAAGCTATAGTAATTGATGTCCCAGTTCCTCATCTGTTATACATTATGGAAATGAGTTGATTTCCTTTAGGCATTGCCTGTTTACATTGTAGTAAGCTTATAATTTGACAAGAATTTCACATCATCTCTGAACTGATAAATTTTTTAAATATAAAAATACTCAGGTGAGGAATTACAAAGCGTATATACTCTAAAGAAAGTAAAAGTCCTCCAGAGTCCCTTCTCTCCACCACCTCACATGTACTCCCAAGATATTTGTAGTTGACTCTTTCTTGGAAATTCTTCTAGAAATTATTTTTGTTGTCCAGTTACAGTTGTCCCAGTTTCTTCTAGAAATTTTTGGTATATATATTACTATCTTTTTTACTTTTTCTATCAGTGGAATTATATTACACAGATTGTTCTATGACCTCCTTTTGTTCATTTGACATTTTGCCTTGGACATCTCATACCAGTACATACAGATCTGCTGCATTTCTTTGTGGTGTAATAGTATCCCATTGTATTCCTGTGCTCTAATGTTACTCAGCCAATTCCCTCTTCACGAGCACTTGAGTTATTTCCAGCTGTTTTACTGTTACATTATGTTGTCGTGAACATCTTATACATATATCCTTGCATTTCCCTTGCCAGTATATTTGTAGAATAAATTGCTAATAAGTGAATTCCTTTTTCAAAGGGTATGTACATTTTCAAAAAAAAATACATCAAGTTAAATTCCCACCAGTAAGGACTATGGAGGTATACTCGGTTCCCTGTCATCAAAAGTAGGTATTATCAGTTGTAAAATTTTTCTTCATCCAGTCAGTGAAAACAGCATCTCTATTTTGTATTTGTACTTAATTATGAATAAGTACTTTTAAATATATGAACAGCCATTTTTTATATGTGTATCTTCTGGTTTGAGGCTTAATTTGACTTGTATATTGCTGAGCTTTTAGCTGTTTGAATACGTGCAAAAGCAGCTGTGAAAAAATGTTAGCTCACAAAATGTTTGAAGTAGGAAAAGTACTTGACTTGTTTGCTTATTAAAGGTTCAAAGTATTAGCTAAAGAAACTGCCCTGGAGGGTGTGGCTCACTTGGTTGGATCATGGGCCCTACCTATACTTAAAGGTTGCTGATTTGATTCCCTCTCTGGGCGAGTTCCCAGGTTCCGGGTTCGATCCTGCAGATTCATTCCCTTAGAGCATTTACAAGAAGGCAACCAAGTTGATGTTTTTCTCTCACACTGATGTTTTTTTCTCTAGTTCCCTCTCCCTCCCTCCCTTTTCCCCACTCACTTTCTCCCTGTGTCCTCCTTCGCTCTCTGAAAGCAATGAAAAAAATGTCTGCAGGTGAGGATAAAAACAAAAAAAGAAAGACACTGGGATACTTCTTTTTACTCTTTCAAGGTTAAGGACATAAATTTTAGGTCTTCTCTTCCTTTGAGTGAGTTTATGTTCTGGAATAGTACCAGACAACCTAGTCACTAAATAGATAGTTGTTAAATAAATGATTTGACAGAAACATAGAGCTACAAATTTGATTACCTGGCCTCATGGTATTGAGGCTGTCACCATTCTCTTTTTTATACTTTTATGTTAGATAGTTTATTTAAACTGCTCAAAATTAGTCTTCATATAAAATTTTCACATTTGTATCAGGAATGGTTAAGATTTCATTGAAAGATTTTGTAATATCAAGAAAAGTATATTTTGCTCTGAAACTATTAAATTGCTCCTGTCTCTCTGATGCATGGCTGACAGAGAAGTTTGAGAGTATTCAGTTCATCATCTGACCAGGAACAGGTGCATAATGCAGGTAGCGAAGGACTTCACTAATCAAATGTACAGTTGGGAGAGTTGGCACTGTTTCAGTGTTGCTAAGGTGGATTTTGTTTCCAATTAAGCACTTGAAGTAAAAAGTAGCACATGAATTGTAGGGAAAAGAAATAGTATGTGATTGTGAAGGAAAGGTTTGCTTAGTCAGTTTTAGCCAAAAATCGTACTAGCATTTGCAGAGAGACTTCCAAACATTTGACAGCCTACAATTGCATTCGATTTTAAACAAACCTGGGAATTTATCCAGAGAGTCTTCTGACCAGATTCTCAAGTAAGTTTATCCTGCTTGCTGTCCTAGGTTCTCAGTCCTAGGTTCACTAGATCAGATTGTATTTCCTTTTTTTCTCATGCTCTTACTAACTACCATCTTCTCCTGTCTTCAGTATCTTTAACTGCAGCCTCAAAATCTTTAAAAAAAAAAAAAACTGGTTTACTTGAAAAAAATTTTGTTTGCAAAGAAGTGGAAGATATTTTGTTATATTTTCTAGTTATAATTCTCAGAAAAGGAATTGGTAGCTTGAATTAAAATCTTTCCAGCTCTCTATAAAAGCCTCCTTTAGGATAAATTTGGCCTAGTGGGTGAAAAACTGCTTCATTTACCTTGGTTGCCTACCGTATGTAATTTATAATAGCCCTTTCCAAGCCTTCTAAATGTTTTTCCCTATCAACAGAGTGCAGCTCTTTTAATGTACGTACTCTTCTCCCTGACTCATCAGATCTCTTGCAAAATTCAGGGTCAGGCTGAGGAGATGCAGGAAGGAATGAAATCGCTGTTGTGATAAAAATCAAGCTGTGCACTCATGATTTATGATCTCTCTCTCTCTGTGTAATTTTCAGTTTACAAAGCAAACAAGCAGTAGCCTTGGCATTTTTACAAGTTTTACCAAACAGTCAAGGAAAAATAATTCCACTCTTCTACAGTTTCTCTTCATGGAATAGAAAAACAAGTAAATGTTCCCTGCTCTATTTGAGACTTGCATAACCTACATACCAAAACTTAACAGTGACAATATGAGAAAAGTAAAGGCCAGTTTTACTTAAGAGCACAGATCTAAGTATCCTAAACAAAATATTTACAATCTGAATCAAGCAATATATTTAAAAAATTGTCCCTGTGAACAGGTTGGGTTTCTAGTAGAAAGAATAGTTGATTTTATCATTAAAAATCAATTTATGTAACTCAGTATATTAACAGATTAGAGGAAAACTATCATAGAATCACATTAATAGCTGTAGAAAAAACACTTCATTTGAAACATATCCAATATTTAAATTCACGTTAGTTAAAAGAACTTATTGATCACCAGTGAAGTATTTTGGTGAACCAATTTATTAACCCGAGAGTTGATCAATAAAAGGTAAAAATGAAGTATTTCTCTTGACTTTAACTATACCAGTGGATAACCAAATAGGACATTAGAAGGAATGTCTTTCTATAAAAGTATTCCAGCTAATTAATGAAAGAATAATATATTCAGATTATCACCATTTTTCAACCCCTCATAAAGTAATGGATCTAGGCATTAACCATCAATAATTGTGAGTATCTCAGAAAGAAAGACAACCAGTTGGCAGATACTTCCTGATAGAAGATCAAAATACTACTATGAAGGATTTTCCTCTCTACCCCACCTAAAAATACTAAATGTGGTTAAACCTTGAGACCCAACTAGCATTTTGAAATACAAAAAAAAAAAAAGTTAAACAACATCACATGGATGCCATCATCAAAATTTAGACCATCAGAAACAAATAACATACCATATTTTTTGGACCATAAGATGCACCTACATTTTATAGGAGGAAAATAGGAAAAAAAATTTTGAATCAAAAAAATGTGGTAAAATTTTTAATAACATAAATAACATATTACTTCACCAATGTAAATGTAAACAGGACTCAACAGCAGCATTAACAACCATTATTTCTCCCAAATTGGGAGGGAGAGGTGCGTCTTATAGTCTGAAAAATACTAGTTTCTTGAACAAATAAATTGCAAAGAAGGAGAAAGTTAAACTTAAAAGATACAGAAACCAATCATACTCTGTGCCTCTTAATTAGCTGCTAATTTAAACAAATTCTAATATAAAAAACATGATAAGGGGTTAATATCCAAAATATATAAAGAACTCATACTACTCAACACCAAACAAATAATCCAATTAAAAAATGGGCAGAGGACCTGAATAGACACTTCTCCAAAGAGGATGTGCCAATGGCCAATAAACATATAAAAAGATGCTCAGTGTCACTAAACCACCAAAGAAATGCACTTAAGACCACAGTGAGATACTGACTACCTCACAACCTGTCAGAATGGCTAACATCAATAGGTGAACAAACAACAAATGTTGGTGAGGGTGTGGAGAAAAGGGAATTCTTGTACATTGTTGGCGGGATTGAAAATTGCACTGGGACTCAAATCAATGCAGTGGACCAGAAGAAAGCAAATAATGGACAAACAGAAAAGAGTCAAGGAGCAAGAATTCAAAGAAATGAGGAGAGTCTTAGGAACCTCCAGGACATCTTTAAACGCTCCAATATCCGAATTATAGGGGTACCAGAAGGGGGAAAGACACAACCACCAGTGGAAAAACTATTTGAACAAATAATAAAAGAAAATTTCCCCAATCTGGCAAAGGAAATAGACTTCCAAGAAATCCAAGAAGCCCAGAGAGTACCAAAAAAG